TGCTCAATTTCACGTTCATTGCGGCTTGCTATCACCCCCCTTCCTCGTAAGTCCTCGACTTAACGACCATAATTGGCCCCAACATTTCTGCTGCTAAGCAAGACAGCTGTGTAAGCCAGCTTTGCCCCAATTTACGACCTTCCTTGCCACAGTCGTTAAGTGAATCACCGTAGTTGCTAAGTGAGCAACGCAGGCGCTAAGTGAACTTGGCTTCCCCATTGACTTGGTTGCCAAAGGGGATCGATCACATGACCCGGGGATACTGCGAGCGTCATAAACACGAGTCAGTCGCCAAGCCTCCGAATTGTTATCTCGTGTCCATGGGGTGTGCTACAAGGGTTGTAAGTAAGCGTGGACAACAGCCATAAGTCACTTTTTTTCCGATGCCGTCATAACTCCGAGCGCTCACGGAAGGCACTGTTGTAGGTTGAGCACCAGCTGCTTGAGATGTGCAGTTAGTTTCCTTTCCCCAGCCTTCCTCTTCTGCCCTTCGGAGCGGAGGTGAGATGGGGTACGTTCCCGGGCGAGGAGGGCAGGCTTCCCGTGGGTGTAAGCGGCGGCGCCGCGGCCGCGCGAGGGCATCGCATCCAGGTTTCCTGTGCCGTGCTCCCATGCCTGCTGCGATCGGCCCGGATGGGTGTCGGCCGGGCTAAGGTGGGCCCTAAGGTTGCTTCAGCCCTCTTCCCTCCTGCGGCTTCAGCCTGGGCAGCGCCAGTGACTCAGGCACGTGGGTGTGTGAGGCTTCCTCCAACTGGTTTGGGCAGTGCTGAACCAGCGCTGAGACCAAACGGCTGCGACTGGGTGGGGCTTTGAGTGCTCCCTGGTTCTCCTTAGGCTCCTCGCCTCTCCTCCTCTCCCTATGTCTCTGCAGTGCAGCAGACTGCGATCTGACACCACCGCCAGCCAGCACCAACGGCGGCAGCAGCAGCAGCTCCCCGGCACTCATGTTCCCGGCCTTTCCAGGGTGGGGGTGGGGGGCTATCCCCTGCCTTGCCCATGTTTGGCGAGCCCGGACGACCGCCGTGCCATGCACCAGCCGGTTGGCAGGCTGATCTGTTCTCCCCCTCTTCCCCCAGCCCCCCCACCCCCCCCAATCCGTTTCGGAAAGCCAGGCAGATGAAAAGTCTCAGCTCGCTTCGCTTGCCAAAACGGCCTGGGGTTTTCCGGACTTGGGTAAGTATTTTTCGCCTGCTGTGAGTCTTTTTCCGCTGCATGCCTTGAGTTAGGAGTGGGATAAGAGGCAGGGGTTTTTTTTTCTTTTTTTTTCGCCCCCAAAAGAAGATCGCTTCTTTCTTTCGGTTTCCTGCGATCCCAGGTAGAGGGGCACGAAGAATTTGGGAGAGAGGGTGGGTCCCAAGTTCCAAAGTGGCTTCGTGGTTTTGGTTTTCTTCTTCTTTTCTTTCTTACCAACGTATATCGGTGGGGTCTTGGCCTGTGCTTAACAATGTCTTGGCCTTTTCAAAGAGCTGCTTTGTGTAAACAGTTCAGCAGGCATACTTGGATAAAAAAAGGGGGAGAAGGGGGCTGCCCCACAATTACCCGTCAGCGCTGTGCCGGTTTTGTGATTTTCAGAAGTTCCTTTTGCCTCCCGGTGATGTGGGATGTGGGTAGGTGGGTGGGTGGGTGGGGGGGCTGTGGTTAATTCAGAGACAACCATGACCTGGATGATGGAGAATCCCCCTGCCGAGAAGGTTAATTCAGGACTTCCGTCAGCCTCCCAACAGCGGTACCTGGACTCTTGATTTCTTTCCGAGCGGCTGTCCTCCTCGTTCACCCAAAGGCTCGCCCTGGAGTTTCTTGTCCTGGATTAGCAGGAGATTAGTATTTTGGTCTGGCAAGCAGGGGTCATTTGAGAGGAGACCTCTGGATTGGCTTAGCCCCAATTACTTCCTGTAGGAAGAGATGCTGCAGGCCGCCTCCCTGGACACCAGGGTGTGATGCTGCATCACAGGCACTGTTGGCTGCTTGCAAGGGTGGGGTGTGTGTGTGTGGATGGAAGAGAATTGTTGCCGACGGTGCAGTTGTGCTCAGAGCAGCTCAATCTCTTTCCCAGGGACATGGCAGGCGCCCAAAGAGAGCCTGAACTAAATGTTGTCAATGGTTCAACGGGGGGCCATCTTGGGACTCCAGGGCCATCAGTCAGCTCATAAGGCTGGGGAAGATGGTACTCCTCTTTTTTTGGGAACTGTTAGTGCAGAGGAAGGGAATAAGCGACGTTGGGCCCAGCCTTCTTTCACAACCCACGGACTTCCATCTTGATTCAACAATTCACGAGCAGTGTAGAGCAGGGATGGGCAACTACGACCACTTCCAGACTTGTGGACTTCAACTCCCAGAATTGCTGGCTGAGGAATTCTGGGAGTTGAAGTCCACAAGTCTGGAAGTTGCCAAGTTTGAAAACCCCTGTCCAACTGATTGGCTCACTTGGGCTGCAGTTGAGTGAACAGGAATTGTCTTGGGCAATTCATAATACAGTTAATTTTTAGAAATCACAAGATTGTTCAAAAGTTTACGATCTGATGGGGCCGCGTTACTAGCTGTCCAGAGCTGCCTGTGGACTAAAAGTTGGACACAGTTGTGCTAGGCTGAGATTTAATAGGAACTCAAGTGACTTTTAAATCAGTCTTTTTGCAGTAGGATCTTGATAAGGCTAGCCCAGGGGTGGGGAACCTTGGCTCTTTTATGACTCGTGGACTTCAACTCCCAGAATTCCTGAGCCAGCCATGCTGAGGGGAAAGGGAGAGGTTTCCAAGCTGAGCCATGCTGGCTCAGGAATTCTGGGAGTTGAAGTCCACAAGTCATAAAAGAGCCAAGGTTGCCTACCCCTGAGCTAGCCAAATTACTTGACCATCTAAGCCAGGGGTCTTCACACTTGGCCCTTTTATGACTTGTGGACTTCAACTCCCAGAATTCCTCAGCCAGGCAACGCCTGGCTGAGGAATTCTAGGAGTTGAAGTCCACAAGTCATACCTGGCTGAGGAATTCTGGGAGTTGAAGTCCACAAGTCATAAAAGGGCCAAGTTTGAAGACCCCTGGTCTAACAAGTGCCCTTCAGGATTGGATCCTGACCCTACAGTAGAATGTCCTTAACTCTCTTAGGTGAATGAGGGGTGAGGGAGAAGCACCCCTTTGTTTTTTGCTTTAGCTCTTTTTATCAGGAAAAGAAGCCTTACAGACACAACACACACACACAAACACTGAGCCTGTACAGGTGTATCAGCAGCTCCCCTAGATACTAGTTACAACCCACTCCCTTCAGTGTGTGAGGCAAAGTAATGGGAGCCACCATGAGGTGAAGGTTGAGGTGGAGGTTTGGGGGCTTCGGTTGAGGTACAGGGGGGAATTTTAACTGCTAAAGATTTCAGTGAGACGGCGTCCATTGCATGGAGAGAGAAATAGGGTGGAGAAAAAAATGTGACGTGAAAGACGATTGAATTTCGTAGTAAGGCCTGTCGGATCAGTTTTGTGCACTGACTGGGAACAGAGCTAGTGCTCAGACTGGTGTTTCTAAGCCTTGGCAGCTTTAAACTGAATGGACTTCAACTCCCAGAATTCCCCAGCCAGCATGGGAGTTTTGAAGTCCATGCAACCTGGAAACACTATTTTAGAAACTCTGCTCGGCGGTTCTCAGAACGGTCTTTCTCTGTGGCTGTAGAACAGGGGCCTTCAAAGTTGGCCCTTTGACGACTTGTGGACTTCAACTCCCAGAATTCCTCAGCCAGGCACGCTGGCTGAGGAATTCTGGGAGTTGAAATCCACAAACCGTAAAAGGGCCAACTTTGAAAAGCCCCTGATCTAGATAAATGATATACAGGTAGTCTTCTGCTTATAATCTTTCATTTAGTGACTTTTCGAACTTTAACTTTAAGACTTGTGGACTTCAACTCCCAGAATTCCTCAGCCAGGCATGCTGGCTGAGGAATTCTGGGAGTTGAAGTCCACAAACCGTAAAAGGGCCAACTTTGAAAGCCCCTGATCTAGATAAATGATATACAGGTAGTCTTCTGCTTATAATCTTTCATTTAGTGACTTTTCGAACTTTAACTTTAAGACTTGTGGACTTCAACTCTCAGAATTCCTCAGCCAGCCAAGACTGGCTGAGGAATTCTGGGAATTGAAGTCCACAAGCCATAAAAGGACCAAATTTAAAGACCCCCTGCTTAAGACCATTACAGCATCCTCATGGTCACATGATCAAAATTTGGATGTTTGACAACTGGCATGTACTTACGACAGTTGCAGTGTCCCGGAGGTCACGTGATCCCCCTTTGCGACCTGCTGACAAGCAGAGCCAATGGGGAAGCCTGATTCACTTAACAACCGTGTCACTAACTTAAAAAACTACGGTGATTCACTTAACAATTCTGGCAAGAAAGGTCATAAAATGGGGCAAAACTCCCTTAACGACCGTCTTGCTTTAGCCGTGGAAATTGCTAAGCGAGGCCGCGGTCGTAAGCCGAGGACTACCTGCGTTCCACAGCGTTTGAAGTGAGAATTATGCGACTTTCCTCTTTGAGTGAAGGGGAGGGAAGGGCTAATATAATTACGTCTCGGGGCTGGTTTTTTCATTTCACTTCTGCTGTTTCTCTATCAATTTTTATGATTTCAACTGAACTCGTACCTTGCATCCATGCTTCACGCTGTTTCATACATGTTCTTCCTGGTCTGTTTATTACTTTCTTTAGAGCGATGATGTTTCGGTAGACTTTGCCCTCATCCGAACATTTTGACTGCCCTTTTTCTTGTTAACAGATAATTCCCTCCCCCTCCCCTTTTTTTTTTAAAAACATTGTCAGGTCACAGAATTCTGAAAAGTCCCTGTTTTTGTACACTTTGGAAGGGTGCGTCTGTGGCAAATTGGCATAAAAATCTGGGTTTCTCGCCTTGTGCGTGTTGCCATACTCTCAGGCTTAGTTTCTCAGCCCTGCGTTCCCCGTGTCCGATTCCTCCTGTGTTCGTTTTGTTGACCCTTCTCTCGTTCTCCCTCTCTGCAGATAGTAAGGGGATCCTTATGCAGCAACACGTGAAATGAACAAAGCTCCACAACCCTCAGGAGGAACCCCATCAGCCCCACACCCCTCCCCTTCTCCTGGACTTCCACAGGTAAGGATTCTCCTTCCCAGGCCACCTTCCGCCCTGGGCTCCTTCCGAGGGAGTCATTTCCCCCTAGATAACACTCAGATTTTGCTGCTCTATCTTCTTCTGGCGCTTTGAGAGGTAGATCCTCTAGCACAGTGTTTCTCAACCTTGACCATTTTAAGGCATGTGGACTTCAACTCCCAGAATTCCACAGCCAGCAACGCTGGCTGTGGAATTCTGGGAGTTGAAGTCCACATGCCTTAAAATGGTCAAGGTTGAGAAACACTGCTCTAGCAGAGGTGGGAAACTACGGCCCTTTTAGGGCTTGTGGACTTCAACTCCCAGAATTCCTCAGCCAGCCAGGCTCAGGAATTCTGGGAGTCGAAGTCCACAAGTCCTAAAAAGGCTGGCTCAGGAATTCTGGGAGTCGAAATCCACAAGTCCTAAAAAGGCTGGCTTAGGAATTCTGGGAGTCAAAATCCACAAGTCCTAAAAAGGCTGGCTTAGGAATTCTGGGAGTCAAAATCCACAAGTCCTAAAAGGCTGGCTCAGGAATTCTGCGAGTTGAAATCCACAAGTCCTAAAAGGCTGGCTCAGGAATTCTGGGAGTTGAAGTCCACAAGTCCTAAAAAGGCTGGCTCAGGAATTCTGGGAGTCGAAATCCACAAGTCCTAAAAGGCTGGCTCAGGAATTCTGGGAGTCGAAGTCCACAAGTCCTAAAAAGGCTGGCTCAGGAATTCTGGGAGTCGAAGTCCACAAGTCCTAAACGGGCCATAGTTCCTCAACCCTGTTATACACGGCTCCAATTTTTACCAGCACGAACTTTTCTGTAGATCGCTTGCCTTTGGCCTCTTGGCTGGCTTTTGCAGAGGGCAGGTTGACCAACGCCATTTTAATTTCCTTTCGCCTTTGAGTCAGAGCTTTATATTCCTCAAATGCTGCCGCGGCTGCGGGTGGAGGGTTGGGGCAGCTGCCGCCAAGCTGCTAACCTGCTTCTTCTCTTCTCTTCTCCCTTCTCCTAGCAGTCAGCATTTCCTCCTGGCCAGGCGGCACCTGTGGTTTTTAACCCAGCGCAAGCTACCCAAATGAATACGCCTTCCCAGCCTCGACCGGTAAGAGGGTGGCGACAGCCGCCGGGGCTGCAGCTCCACGGGGGCTGCAGGACTCTCTCTCTCGAGGTGGTGGTTGCAGCCGAGCCCTCTCTTGATGTGGGCTGCTCAACAGGTTCTTCGCTTTGGCCCGGGGGCTGGCAGGCAGGGCACAAGCAGCCCTGCAGGCTGAATCGGTCTGCAGCTGCCGCTGACTCGGGAACACCTCTGCGGCGTGTGCCAGGCGGGGGTTTTTGGGATGAGCACGACAACGGAGCCCGCCACGAGGTCCAGAGAGGTGGTGGAAACTGCCTAGGAAGGGTCTGCATGGAGAGTGGCAGAGAGGAGGAGGCAGGGAGGGCGGCTCAATTGCCCTGAAGAGAGAGGAATTTGGGGAAGTGGGGGGGGGAAGCAGGGAGTAGACAGAGGGGGGCCTGTAACTGTTGGTGATGTTCTCCTCTTGTCTCCTTTCCCCCCGCCCCCCGCGCTCTTTCTTGTCTTAGTTTCCAGCAGGGCCTCGTGCTTTACATCAGCAGGTACTAACCTTCCCCTGCTTGCCTCACTGCATGCTGGATGCCATCCCAGGGGGAGGGTGCCGTCCGTTCAGGGGTGGTGCTTGGACACTGCAGGGCCCACTGACCGCAGGGCTGGAGGGTTGGGGGGAGGCTGAGGTGATCAGGGTCAACCCCCCCAGGTTAGACTCTCTGCATCTCCTGGGAGCTCTCCTGTCTCCGGAGAGCTTTTCCCCCCCCCTCCTTCGTTCTCAGCTGCCCAGTTTTCAAGACAAGAGATGATAGTACCAGGAGTCCTCGACCTACGGCTACAATCGAGCCCCAGCGTTCCGTTACTGAGCGAGGCAGCCGTTCAGTGAATTTTGCCCCGTTTTTACGGCCATTCTGAACCGCTGCAGTTGTTAAGTTGATAACAGGGTGGTGAAGCGAATCTGGCTTTCACCTTTGGGTGTGTGTGTGAAAAGGCCCGCAAAGCCGTGCCACCGTCATAAATGTAAGCCAGTTGCCAAGCATCCGAATTTTGATCACGTAACGCCGGGGACGCTGCAGCGGCCCTCAGGATGATAAAAAACGGTCATAAGTCCCCCCTTTTTCCCCCCCAGTGCCTTTGTAACTTTGAACGGTGGCCAAACGGACGGTTGTAAGTCAAGGACTACCTCTACTGGGGTTTCCCCCCCCCACCCTTCCTGGGTCGGATTACGATTCCTATAAGGAGCCATTTGGTCTCATGGCTGGAACACGTTTGAAAGGGGAGCCGATGATCGTTTTTGTGGATCACCCAAGCTCTAAGCCAGTGTTTCTCAACCTTGACAATTTTAAGGCATGTGGACTTCAACTCCCAGAATTCCACAGCCAGCAACGCTGGCTGTGGAATTCTGGGAGTTGAAGTCCACATGCCTTAAAATTGTCAAGGTTGAGAAACACTGCTCTAAGCACACAGGGAGAGAACAACACAAATCAAACCTGGAAAAAAGAGAACCCGTAGCGGGGGGGGGCTCTGGGTCAGGATTGCTAGGGCCATCTTTCCCCTGAGTTTATGACCGACAGATTGTGGTTAGGGCCAGTTTGACTGCAGTGTCCACAGCCCAGAAGCTTCCCAGCCCCCCCCCCCCCACACCCTTCCCTTGTGACTTGCATGCCATCTGACTCATGATAGTGCTTCTCCTGTCACCGTTTCTCATTTTTGGAAAACTCAACTCCTGCTGCCTGGCTTCCCCATTTGGTGTTCCTTCTTCCCTTCCCCCTCGGACGGAACGGGCTTCCTGGCCACTCCCAGGACCGATCGCAAGACGACGTTCGGCCTTTTCCCGCCCTTCTCCCTTACCCCCTGTTCGCGACCTTTCGGTGTGTTGCACGTCTTCGAGAGCCCCCAGACTCTGTTCTCCATCTCTGTGTTCTTGGCAGGCTGCCTGCAGACCCCCCCCCCAGAAGGGCTGTGTCCTCCATGGTCCCCAAATAGCCACCCCTACATGCCCCTTGGCTATGGGGTGTGGAGGGGTCTCTGTTCCTCCATCACATCCGGCTGTCAGAGAGCTTGCTTGGTTGGGAATGAAGGCGGAGGGAATGAACGGGAGTTTTCTCCCTGTCGCCCTAGGCTGGGACCTGGGAATTGAGCTGGTGTTAACTTAGGCAAGATGTCAGCAATGGGATCGGAGGCGCGGTTCCCCTGTGATGCGGTGACACGTTCTCCTCAATCTGTAAACCCTTAAATTTATTTTAAAACTGCCTAATGCCTACTTTGGCATTCTTAAAAACAAACAAACCCAAAAACCTGCCAGCTAGGAATCTTGGTGGAGTTTATGCTCCTTCCTGTTGATTTATCTAGACCAGGGGTAGGCAACCTCGGCTCTTTTATGACTCGTGGACTTCAACTCCCAGAATTCCTGAGCCAGCCGTGCTGAGGGGAAAGGGAGAGGTTTCCGAGCTGAGCCATGGCCGGCTCAGGAATTCTGGGAGTTGAAGTCCGCGAGTCATGAAGGGGCCATAGTTCCCCCATGCTGGCTCAGGAATTCTGGGAGTTGAAGTCCGCAAGTCATGAAGGGGCCATTGTTCCCCCATGCTGGCTCAGGAATTCTGGGAGTTGAAGTCTGCTAGTCATGAAGGGGCCATAGTTCCCCCATTCTGGCTCAGGAATTCTGGGAGTTGAAGTCCATGAGTCATAAAAGAGCCCAGGTTGCCTATCCCTGGCTTAGGCCTGTATTTCTCAACCTTGACCACTCGGAGATGGGTGGACTTCAACTCCCAGAATTCCTGAGCCAGCCATTCTGAGGGGAAAGGGAGAGGTTTCCAAGCTGAGCCACGCTGGCTCAGGAATTCTGGGAGTTGAAGTCCGCGAGTCATGAAGGGGCCATAGTTCCCCCATTCTGGCTGAGGAATTCTGGGAGTTGAAGTCCGCGAGTCATAAAAGAGCCCAGGTTCCCAAACTCCCTGATCTAGGCGTTCAGCCCACACGTACTGTTTCCAAGCTTCAGCCACCTGGTGAATGAATAGGATTGTATCTTCATGGCCCGAATTGGGCGATGTGTTTTATCTGAACAAAACTGCCATTTCTGGAACTGGCCTTCCCTCCTGGGTGTAATTTGACATTCAGGAAGAAGCCTTGATCCTCGGCGTGAAGCTTCTGAGTCAGATCAAAGCTTCAGGTGTCTTTCTTGCTGGTCCACCCAGTCTCTGCGGAGAGATTGGGATATGAACGAGGAAGCCCAGTTCATATATTATTATTACACCCATCTCAGGGAGTGATCTTAGGAACCCGACAGTCTCTTAGTCATGTGGAATGAATGATCCTGGCCTAAATCTAGTGTAACCACTGGCAAGCTTTGAAATGTGGGTGCTTCGGGCCTGTGCTTCAGAGTGTCTCCCAGTCTGGCGTGTTGGATGAAAGACCAGGCTGACTTAAGGATTCTGGGAGTTGAAGTCTTCACAGGGGGGACATGATAGCAGTGTTCCAATATCTCAGGGGCTGCCCCAAAGAAGAGGGAGTCAAGCTATTCTCCAAGGCGCCTGAAGGCAGGACAAGGAGCAATGGGTGGAAACTCATCAAGGAGAGAAGCAACCTAGAACTAAGGAGAAACTTCCTGACAGTTAGAACAATTCACCAGCGGAACAACCTGCCTCCAGAAGCAGTGAATGCTCCAACACTGGAAGTCTTTAAGAAGAGACTGGACAGCCATTTGTCCGAAATGGTATAGGGTTTCCTGCCTGAGCAGGGGGCTGGACTAGATGGCCTCCAAGGTCCCTTCCAACTTTATTATTATTATTATTATTCACACCATCCGAGGGACGGGAACTCAGGAGGCGAGCTAACGACAGGCAGTCCTTGACTTAACAGCAGTTCGTTTAGTGACCGTTTGAAGTTAACAGCATTGGGGGAAAAAAACCCGACCCGTTTTCACACTTAAATGACGGTTGCAGCATCCCCATAGTCACGTGATTGACATTTGGGTGCTTGATCAGCGGTCCATATTTACGACGGTCGCAGCGTCCCGGGGTCATGTGATCCCTTGTTGCCATTTTCTGACAAGCAAAGTCAATGGGGGAAGCCAGATTGATTTTACAACGCTGTTACCAACTTAAACGACTGCAGTGATTCCTTTAACCCAGGGCTCTTCAAACTTGGCCCTTTGATGACTTGTGGACTTGAGCTCCCAGAATTCCTCAGCCAGGCACGCATGCCTGGCTGAGGAATTCTGGGAGTTGAAGTCCACAAGTCATCAAAGGGCCAAGTTTGAAGAGCCCCTGACTTAACCAAGGTGGCCAGAAAAGTCGTAAAACAGGGCAAAAACTCCACTGCACAAAGGTCTCGCTTAGCGGCAGAAATTTTGGGCCCAGTGGTGGTCATAAGTCGAGGACTGCCTGTATTTAGTCGCACTTCTGTCCCTCCTTTCAGTTTTGGGTGGAAATGATCAGTTATCAATGCTCATAGCGATCACCCTGGATAGTAATGCTCACGGTTGCTGTTCACAGTTTCCCCCACTGGGATTAAGCACGCGTTGTCCATTAGACGTGGCCTCTCCATGCTCAGAATCCTACAGAATTCCACAGCAAATTTGCAAGGGCGCCTGGGGAGGGTCAGAGGGCAGGATGACGCCCACCACAACTGTCTATCTCACTGGCCCAGTGAGAACTTGAGGCGCAGGGTCGAATTATAACAGAATGTTGTACATGAGACCCATGGCGAGGGACTTGCAGAGCATGGGCCTTGTTCGCGCTATGAGTGTTGATTCAGCACTGATGTCTGGACAAGATGGAAACTAATCAAGGAGAGAAGCAACCTAGAACTAAGGAGAAACTTCCTGACCGTTTGAACAATTAACCAGTGGAACAACCTGCCTCCAGAAGCGGTGAATGCTCCAACACTGGAGGTTTTTAAAAAGAGACTGGACAGCCATATGTCCGAAATGGTATAGGGTCTCCTGCCTGAGCAGGGGGTTGGACTAGATGACCTCCAAGGTCCCTTCCAACTTTATTTTTATTATTATTATTATTATTATTATTATTATTATTATTATT